CAGACCTAAAGAAGGCAGATTTAAGAAACAGAGAAAGGGAAACCAACTCCTGGGGAAGTTGTTGGAGCCCCTGGATCCAGCCAGGCCTGAAGTAGAACCTATTCTGGCTCTTGGCTGGGAAATAAGTCAAAGAGGTCCTGATGACACCACCTACAGGTGCAAGGTGGGACTGCCACCAGCCCAACTGTTTACCAGGCTGATGCAGGGAGATTTGCTCTCAGCAATCAGCAGCAGGGGGTGAAATAAAATCTCTCCCTGTGTCTAGAACACAGGGAAGGGCCAGGAAACAAAATCCCAAGTTAAATCATCTACCATGATGTTTGTCAAACAGAATTGATACAAGGGACCCCTTCCCGAGGAGGCAACAGGATGGAAGCTAGAAGAAGCCAGACAACACACAGAGAATGTGAGATGGAACAAGAGGAGTTCCACCTCAAACAGCCACTTTTTCTGAGTTGCCCTGGTGCCAGGGGAAGAGAGCTGTAGAGGGCAAGGAGGCCATGTGGGTTCCACCTCCTCCACCTCCATGTCATTCAGAACCACAAGACAAAGCCCTGTCATGCCCACTGGGCTGACCTGGCCCAACCAGCTCTCAACCTCATCTCCCACTTCTCCCACAACTTAGTCCCAGCCACGTGTCACCTTGCTGGTCTTCAAACACTCTGCGCGTTGGTCCTGCCCCTGGGACTTGGTACTTGCTCATCCTTCCACCTGGATATATACATATATACATGCATCCCCACTCCTTGCCTCCTTCGATTCTTAGCTCAATCATCATCTTTTCCTGAGGCTTCCCCTAGTTTTTACTTAAAGGCTGTCGTCCTCTGACCCCATCACTGCTACCACTCGAAGCTCCCAATTCTTCCCTCCAGATTTATTTCCCTCCACAGTATTTATCACTACCTGATATGCATACCCATGTCTATTACCTGCTTCCCTCAGCTCCTGAAAAACCTGAGGGCAGGGCTTTTGTACTCTCTATCTGTAGTGCCTAGCATGGGGGCCAGCAAAAAGTAGATTCACAATAAGTTTTTGTTAATTCCACCCACCCTGGAGCTGAAGTTTCCCAACATTTGCCTGATCAAAGATCCTACTGAGCTCAGTTTGGTGCAAGGAAGGATGTGGTTTCACTCATATAGTCAACAAATATGTAATGAACACCAGCCCTGACCCAGCCCACTGGGGACTGCTGGGGGTGGGCCTAGGGCAGCAAACCAGACAAGGTTCCTGCCCACAGGAGCTTACATTCTGGTGGGGATACTTGCTGGTGACTTGTCCATTCCTTTAATTCCAAATCCTTCCCAATGTGACAGGTCCCGGAGCTGGACTGGACACCAGCCAGCCCATCAGAGTCTCTGGTTCCATGTCCCAAGATGTCAGGAAGGGTCACAGAGGACCCTGGTGGACAGTGAGGTCTCAGTGGGCCTGACATGGCAGGGAGCAAGTGGAGCAGACCCCCAAGGGAGGGAAGCTAAAGGCCAGACTTGCTGACTTGTGTCATGTCACAGGGTCTTTCAGCTTCCAGTGTGAGCAGAGGAGATGACCCCACACCTGGGGGAGACGTCTTTACCTGGGGGCTTCTTCACCTGGGATGCCCTCTGAGGATGGGCTGATGTGCCTATTCCATGTACTATTACTTGACATGATCATCCATCCATGAGCCTCCAGCTATCAGAGCCTTGATGGCACCAGAGAGTGCAGCTAAGTTACAGAGCTGGAGGGAATGGCTGTTGGAACAGAGAGCGTTCCAGGTGAAATACTTCACTGAGTCATTAGATATGAGGTGTGCAGTGGCAAAGCAAGTCGAACAACGACGCTATGAGGACAAGCTCTGACCCTGGAGGATCTAGTACCTGATTTCTAGGATCCCTGGTCTTGGCAATGGGAAATCAGTGGAAGTTAGGAGCACGTGTCAAGCAGGACAGCACTTGACAGAAAAGCTGCACAAAGGGACATCTGCACATAGTAAAGGACGGTGGAGAAAGGGGTCAAGTGTATCACCTTCCTGCCAGAGCCTGGGACCAGCTCTATGCCGGGAGGGCCTGTTGAAAACATGGCATATAAGTCAGCTTTAGTGGCTGTAACAACCCCAGAATCTCAGTGGCATCCCATAACAAATATGTATTTCTTGCTTATGAGTATCCAGGCTGGCTGTGACTCAGCTGGTTCCCACTGCTCTCAGCTGGGCTCCAAGCTGCAGGTTGGATTCATGTCTGTTTGCTCCACATGTCTCCTCACCCATGTGTCCCGTCACGTGGAGAAGCAACTACCAAGAGGCCAAGCCAAATCACACAGTACATGTAAGCCTTCTGTTGGTGGGATGCCATGTCTGCTTACACTGCAACAGCCCCCAGTTAGGGGGAAGGGGCTAGACTCTGCCTATTCAGATGCATGACAACGTCACATGGCAAAAGGCTTGGTGCATAATCCTAATAAAAGGAGTAACCAAAAGATCTGGGGCCCATCATCAGGTCTGCCACACATGAGTGTCCCAGAGGGCCTCAGAGACTGGAGGGCATTCCTGGGGTCCAGAGTTCTCCTGCAAAAGAACAGCCTCTCCTCCCTCCGGATTTCATCAGCATACAAATGGGCTGGCTCATAAAAGCCCAGGATGGAGGTGAAGGTAAATAAGGCCTCACCTGCTGGCGAGGTGCAGATATCGCCAAAGACAAACAAGCCCATGTCCCTTTCCGAAACCGTCCCAGTTATGGGGGTGGGTGAGGGCAGAGACATGTAAAACGAGCCCCTGAGGTGGCTGAGGATCCCAGGAATCCCTGGCCGCCTGGGTAGATTTACAGAGCGAGTACTCACATCAAGACTGCTTCTAGGCACATACTTTGTAGGTGTCCCACCCAGACACTGCGTGGCCTGGAAACTCTACAGTGCCTCATTTTTTGTTACATGTATGTTACGTGGGAAGGCTATATAGATGTTTTTAAAGGCAAGGATGGGCAAAGAACTCCTAAGGACAAAGAAATATCTAATATTTAATATTAAGTTCCTTACTGTCTTGTCACTTTCTTCCATGATGACATTTCTTCAGGAAAGCCAGGTAAGTGCTCATGTGTGCATGCACACACACACACACACACACACACACACACACACACACACACACACAACTCTCCCTGGCAACACAGCCCATCCCCGGCAGCTGTGGTAAATCCCTGGATACCAGGATTAGAGAGAATAAGAATTCTAAATCCTACTGGATGGTAGACTGAAGTTGCAGAATAATTTCAGGCTGAAGGTGGGGGTTCTGTGCAAGGATCTAGCTGGGGCGATATTCAAAATATTTAATAACCAGTATGGCACAGGGCCTGGCCACTCAGAACAATGGACAGCACACTGGACCCTGTGTGGGCCTGATGTGCCCCTGCATCCAGCCGGGGAAGTTGTAGAAGTTGCAGGCTGGGAATCCGACAGCAGGGGTGACATTGAAAGGTGGTCAGGAGCAGCACCCACCAGTGTGACCCGCCACTTCCCTGCATACAGAGGACTGTGCAGTTCAACCTGAGACCCTGGGGGTCCTGCAGGGCATAAACTAGATTTGTCTTCCTGCCTGAGGCAATCGCCAATTATATGTGCTGTGAGGCAAGCTGGCCTCCTGCCAGAGAAGCAGGGGAAGGGATTTCCAGAATTTCTTTCTGATCTAACTGATTAGAGAAGTTAAAGGACACCCATCCAGGAGGCAGCAGAATGGAAGACAAAAACTTAATATGCAAAATCCTGACTATCTGAGAAACCTTAGACATAGGGCTCCTTAGCCTCTTGGGCTCAGTCCTCTCCTCCAGAGAATGGGAATCATAACGCATCCACCTGGCACAGTCATGATGACAACAAAATGAGCTAAGGACACAGGGAAAGTCTTAAGGGTTGCGCTGGATGCAGAGCTGGCCCTCCAAAATGGGAGCCGTTATTGTCCAAGAGAGGGGGAAGGAGTCAGGAATTAAACCATAAATGAATGATCAGAAGGAGAGGTGAGACATAAAAGCTACATGACATGGGCAGCATGAGGTCGGATTCCAAGGAAAGTCGTTTCTGTTGTTTGCCTTTAGTTACCCAGGATAACCCAAAGCCCGTAGAAAGACGGGACACTGAGTGAGGTCCGAGGCCTTTCTGACAGGAGCCTGTAAGGACCCATTCTCATCCAACATCTCCCTCCAAGCGGCTGGCCTGGCCCAGCCAAAGCGGGGTTGGCATTATTTGTAGCAAGAGAAATGATCTGTGCTTGAGAAGCAACACTGGCTGCTGCTTCCCTGCCAGGATGAAGAAAAACCAAATCACACCTTACAGAACACCTGCAAGGCCACGCCTCCCATAAGCCAATCTTGTAATTTTCTATAATACCTGCATGGGATGTCTGCAAGTACGCCAGTCTGACAGCACCTACCCGTGCTGCTTTTTAAAATCCACCCACCTTTTACTTCCAAAAACCACGGATTTTTGGAAACTCAAACAGGCTTTTTTTCTTTTCTCCAGATGAGACGTCTGCTGTGGATGTGTGACCAGGAAAAGAACACAGGCTGTGCTAGTGCCCGAACAGAAGCAGCCAGGATACCTGGCAAAACCACTTTGACTGCTGTCTCTGAGAAGGCATAACCCCTGGGAGGTGGCAGAGTCCCACTGCTGGCCCCCATTTCCTGAGCCAAAGGTCTAGGGCATCCTGCAAATTTCCAGAAGTAACTCCATCCCAGCCTCCACAAGGACTGGGCCAGTGGGCTGACCGTGCCCTGCTGCACCATCGTCACATGGGTGACTGACTGACACTATGTATCTCCTATTATTTCAACCCACCCCCAAGGCCCAGAGCAACTTAAAACCAGAAGAGCCACACCTTCGCCAAAAAAAGGAATTTTTTTTGAAAGCTAAGTGATAACTTCACAGCCATTCAACTCAATTGACTCCCAGGAAAATGGAAGGCATCTGAAAAATGTAAAAATTGATTTAATGTTGAGCCATGTTAAATGTTTTAATTTCCAAGCAACGCAATGCCCACCAAAACATCAATTAGTCCCAGCAATCAGGCAGCAATATTGGCTTCTGTTGAGGGATTCATTTATTTCAGCTCTGCTAAATATTGAAGACAGAGAAATCCAGGGCAGCCTATAGCTCCGAGGAAGGGGAAGTAAGCCAAATCCAGCCCTGGCTACAATGGCACCTTGGCCTGGACCCTCTGCTCCCTGGCATCTCCCTGAGGGAGGGCAGTAAACTTGTGCAAAGGTCCTCATGCTGTTGACAGAAAACACCCTTCCCTCCCCACGGCTTCTGTCTCCAAGCCAGAAAACAAGAGAGGCTGAAATGGAGCAGAGAATGGCTTCCTGACCGGCAAGATCATTTTTAATAATGATTCTTCCTTTTGGTGCCTTGGAAATGTCAAGGCCCCGGGGTCTCCCTTCCCCAGTGGAGGCTCTGGGGCAGGGTAACCGTCCCCCACCATGTGATGTGCCCTTGTCTCCACGCACCTTGGCCAGCTGCTTGGACACTGAAGGGCGATGGGTGCACACCGCTCACCACGCAACCCTGGGCATTGCAACCAGCAGAGGACAGCCAAGCCAAAGGCCCCGGGAGGTGGAGGCTCCTAAAAGGAAAAGTAAGACATGAGTGCACGTGTGGTCTCCGCAGGCCCGAGGGTGGACGCATCATGTCCAGCCCCTTCGGTCCCCTTCTGGACCACTCACTGGATCTCACAGAAACCTGGTTTGCAGATTGGGTGTGTCAGCATGTACCAGAGCTGCCTTAGTCACAGGAGTCACCTGGGGAGGCTGTTAAAAATGCAAATTCTGGGATCCTTCCCTGTAGATTCTGATTCCGCAAATGCTGGATGAGGTCCAGGAATCTGTACTTTAAGCATCACTCCCAGGTGATTCGGTTCACGAAGCAAGTCTAGGACACAATAGATTGAAGGGCCTGGCCTCACCCAGTGCCAGGTAACCACACTCAGGCCTGTGGGGTAATGGAAGGAGAAGGGTATCTGGGATCTCAGCTGAGGACTTATGAGGACACATTTTAAAGGGACCCCTTTCTGACGTTGCTGCTTCAAGGGAAAACAGTGCCTGGGTTTTCGGCAGGGGATTTGGCAAAATCCATCAAAATTCCAAATGCACACACCACCAATCCCACTGTGAAGACTTTATCCTGCAGACCCAGTTAAACAGATGCAGATTAGACAAGGTCACTCCCTGAAGCACAGTTTGTAACAGGGAAGGAAGGAAAGAAGGGAGGAAGGGAGGGAGGAAGGGAGGAGAGAGGGAGGAAGGGAAGAAGGAAGAAAGAAACTGAAATGTCCATCTATAGCGATCTGGTAAATCTGGCATAGCCAGAAAACCAACACTTGGATGGCTCCTGTGTATGGAAGTGGAACCGTCTCCAATGCAAGGTACAGAGCAAAGTACAAAATAAGCTTTTGTAGAAATGCAGAGATAATCCATGGATATGCATAAAATATCTCTGGATAAATATACAATCTGGTAACACTGGTTCCTTCTGGAGAAGGGAAGTGGGTGACGGGGACAGGGGACAGAGGGAGATGGCTCACTGCATTTCTTTTCAGACCTTACATATTTTGAACCCCGTGCATCATTTATTGTGTACATTATATAATACACACAATATACTGTAACACTTAAAATCATGTTTAAATGAATACATATACTTCCATTAAAAATCTTAAAGATAATAAATCAAAGGTCATGGCTCTGTTTGCAAATGCAACCTCTGGCCACTTGCACCGGCAGAAACTGGGAATTGCCCAGTTCACTATCCTCAAGGAAAGGTTGGGTCAGACAGGGAGACATCCAAGCCAGGAAAAGGTAGTGTGGAGGTTTTAGTTAAGCTCCAAGTTCTCTTTGCCCTCTGGGTATTGCTCACACTGTCCCCTCTACCTGGAATGCGCTCCACTGAGCTAAGCCCGTCTTCTCCCCAGCCCTGGCCTAAGTGTAGATATCACCATCTTTGGGAGGTTTCCACGGCCACCCGTGTTCCCCCCAAGTATGTCTTCCCTCACCCCCATGCTAGACTGGGAGCTCAGCGAGGACAGAAGACACCTCTGGCTTGTTCGCACCTGTCTCCCCAGAACCTAGTACCCTGTTCAGTCCAGGGATGGTGCTCACTAAAAGAAAGAGACTCACAAAGTGAGGGGTGGGGGCAGGAGAGGAGTAAGAAAGGCGAGGAGGGGAAACGGGAACGAAAGCCACCTGCCACCCCAGTCCAGGATCTGATGAGCTCAGCCCTTAGTCACCAAAACTTCCCTCTCCGTTTCCTGGGCTTACCAGATTTGAGATCATCTGGTTCATTTACAAGAGAGCCTTACTCATCCTGCTCACCTCTGTATTCCCAGCCCCTACCTCGGGCTTGGCACATAGTAGGTCCCACTATATACTGGCTGAATTTATTAATACTGGACAGTGAGGAGTTAGGATGCTAAGAAACCACTGAAATGAATTTAGTCATGAGAGATGCTAATTCAGTGGGCTCTGAATGGGGTTTTTTAAGTTCCCCCAGATGACCTGAAGGCACAGCCAGAGTTCAGTCATGTGTACACTTTTGGTAGGGACTTCGGATTTTTCTCTGAATGCAGAATCTCCAAGGCTGCTAAGAGACCCCACCCTGAATCTTAGGAGTCTTCCCGCCCCAGGCCCTGCATCGTGGACTAAGGGACGGAGAAAGGGAGCGAGGCGTGGAGAACGGAGTAGGGAGGCTGTCTTGCATACCTGGAAAAGAACGCGAGGAGGGGGTTCGGGAGGGGAGGGCGCTCAGGGGCGCGTCCAGCCAGGAGCGAGTCCTAGCGCCATCTAGCGCCCGCTGAAGGCTCTGCAGCTGCACCATGCTGAGCAGCCCGCGCTGGGCGGGGGTCACGGCCGCCGCGTTCTCCGGGCCCAGGGAGGCGATCTGCTCCGCGGACAGTTCCTGCAGAGGGTGAAGGGGCAGCGTCTTCAGAGGCGCCCCTCCGCGGATTTCCCAAACCTCGGCCACCAGTCCAGGGCCCGCACAACTTTGCCAGAACCACGTACTATTTATGCTCCTCTTTGGGATTTTCCTTTAAAATCAGATCGCTCTTTCACTACTAAAATTTTTTTTGAATGGAAAATTTTTAATAGAAATTTCCAAAAATGGAAAGCCAGAATGACTCGCCATCAGTAATCATTAAAAATAAGCCCAACGAAATAAAACGTTGAATTCTAGCTAGATGTGTCAGCCAATATCTGAACTTGGACTCTAAAAAAAGGGGGGGAGGGGTGAAAAAGTATGATAGAGGTGTTAGAGATATTTTAGCTCCAAACTGGGACTTCCTCCTTGAACTATCAGTCTTAAAGGAGAGTTGAAAAGGGAGTCATGATTTTCTCACTGTGGGACTTAAATGTTTAATGCTGTGCAAGTTCCCTCCCTAATGCTTCAATTCTCCCCAAACCCCGAGAAACACAGATGTGAAGGAGAAAACGCAAGCCTGAAGGCCAAAGACCCAAATATGTGTCCCAGTTCTGCCACATACATTGTGTGACCTTGGACACGTTACAAAGCTTCTCTGGGCTTTTGGATTAGATGTGGGATGACACAAAGAACTCATCTCCTTTGTGGAGTCTGATTCTTTGGTCACGACTGCCTGGACATCATGGGGGCGATTCCTGTGAGGCCTCCGTAATCTATTGGTGACGTCTGCTGGGTACACCAGAAGTGGGAAACTCTGCAGTGCAGACTACGTCTCTGAGGACTCTGAACAAGATGTTCTATGAAGTTGCTCCCGGCTCAGAGGACTTGGTGACTAGTTCCAGTGGGTCTGGAATGAGCTGGATGGCAAGATTCTTCATTTGTAGAGGGGCCTCTAAAGTCGTTTTGCTTATTTTCCAAGAGCCCCAAGGTTCTAAGAAAGGGTTATGCTCCCTCACCCCTTTCTCTTCTCTCCCTCACCCTCTTCTCCTCTCCTATCTAGGGAGATGCTTCCCTGGAATCATTCTATTCCCCTGCTTGGAACTCTTCCCTACACCTCCCTCCAGGACACAATTCCAGCCCCTGAATGTTGCAATGAGGCCCTCAAGCTCAGGTCCTGCCCACCCACCTCTCCAGCCACACACACACACACACTCTCTGCTCCAGGAGAATGAGTGCCCATATCTGCAGCCCCTGGGAGGCAGCACCATTGCCATGCACCTCCTTCTGCCTGGAACACTGTTCCTCCCTCTCACCTACCTAAGTAAGCTGTCCTGCAAGATCCAGCATCACCTCCTCTCTCTCACCACACACACACAGCTTAAGTGCTCTTCTGGCTTACACACTACGTCTGCCATTAACACAGTATCTGTATTATAAAAATTATCTATTTTTCTAATGTTGCTGACTTGTGACCCAGATTGAATCTCTAGCCCTAATGTGCTATGTTTTAAAATGTAAATTCAAAGTGGTTGCCAACATTTAATTATCAAGAGATTTCACAGGAAAATGGAGACTTCTGGATTCCTAAAAAAAAAAGAAAGGTCAGCAATCCTGGGCCCACATAGCCACCTGAAATTAATGAGCCAGCGATGAAAGCAGCTTCCCCATTTAGACTAGGTTCACCTCGGCCCCTATCCAGGCCACTGCACTCTTCTGTTTTAACTTCCAAGCCCCTGAAGGCCGTGTTATACCCGTCACTGACATATCCCCAGGTGCGCCTAGGCTGGAGCCTACAGCAGTGCAGGTCATCAGTAAGAAGTGCTGGAATAAATACCTAAATAAGGAAGCAGGCACAAAGCACGCTCCAAACAAAACCAGGAGAACGTGTCAGCAACGTCCCAGCATCCAGGACCAAGCTGCCTATCCCATGCTGAGCCCTCCAGAAGGGAAACCCAATTGCCTTAACCATTACTGTATTTCCCCAGCTGCGGTGTGCTGGAAACTGTCCTGGATTCTGAAGTCGGCTAAGGTTGCTCAGTGTCTTGAAATGAGCCAATGATGTGGCATCCTGGGAGTTTGTCTAGCCTTATCTGTGTTGTCTTACCCAGTTGTGGTGGACAGAAGTGTTCCCAAGTCACCCGGCAAGCAAGAATTCCCAGTCATTGCTCATCAGAGTAGAATGTTTGTCTCCCACAAACACTCCTCATCTTGCACAGGGATAGGAAGCAAGGGCCTCCCATTGCATACTCGGCCTCCCTAACTTCAGTTGATCCAATTGCATCCTCTCGGTGTTTTCCATAACAGTTTATCACCTGTTCTGTTGTGTTTTTTTTAATACTTTTCTTTAAATCAACTGAAATATTTAAATTTATTTTATTTTTATTTATTTACTTATTTTTGCTAACATGTTTTTATAATTAGTTTTCTCCATATTGTTAGAGGGGGAAAACTTTCTCTTCAAACTAAAACTTTCTTAGGGAACTACTTTTAATTTAATGTAGATTTTTATTTAATTGGATATGTTTTAGCTTGAAGGCATTGTATATACTAGTCATCAGTGAGGATCAGTAACTGTAAATAACTAAGCATACAGAGTTTGTGAGCTGAGAAATACATACTAAGGAAGTCTTTTAATTTCATTAAAATTAAATGCTTAAAGGTTTTTGAGCATCAGAAATGTACTTTTAAGGTAAAGGCCATTTTGAATAAAATGCCCATACTGTCTGAATAGGTATATGGATGTACTAGATGCTTTTTATTCAATCAAGTTCTTTTTCTTTTTCCTACAAGCAAGACTTCCAAAGAGATGGCTGCAGGTATTTGCTGGTAAATAATAAAGCCAACTCAGCAGTGTAAAATTCTACTAGGGGTAATGGTAGCTCATCCTTCCAACACATGGAAAAATGTAGGCATGTCAACTCATTGTCCTGTTGGGCTTTTTGAAATATTTAAATTTATTTTAAAAGGAAATGTTACACACGTTCACAATTCCTGATTTGCAATTCTAAAGTTCAAAAGGTGTGCAAACTGAAAGTTTTCTCCAAAAGTTAAGACAAACTTATTTACCAGCAAAACCTGATCTGAATTGACAGGAGGCCATTTATGGTCTCTATATATTCCAAGTAGTGTGACTTGTCACAGATTTCTTTGCAGAAGTATTAATGTGTATGCTTATAAGGTGCTTCCTCAGACACCACTGGGGATATTAAGTTATATACTGGAGATTCACAGAGTGATCTTTCTGAAATCTGGAAAATTCTGAATTCTGAAATATGTCTGTTCCCGAGTTTTGGATAAGGGACTATGTATCTGTCATACCATCACAAACAGAAAATCACTACCACTTGCTATGGAGAGAAGGCAACCATAAAAATAAATATAATTAAAACACAAATTAAAATGTTTAAAAATGTTTTTAAAGACACCTAAAATTATCTTGTGATCTGTCCACTGTTGGCATACAGCCCTCATCTAGCCCTACTAGCAGAAACCTGGTTGCAAGCCCCTAGCATCTAAGGCCAGCCATCGGCTTCACTGTGTGATTTGAAATGGGGTCAAGCTCCCATTCTCCTTGAGGAATGGAGTACCTACTTTGAATATCTCATCAGGAAGGCATTTGATTGCTGATGGCTGGAAATATGGCATCAAATCCTTGTTGAGCATTTGGAGCTCTTCCTTAGTTAATCCAGCTGGGAAGAAAAAGGAATCATGAGGGTTTAGTTTGAGCCATCAGAACTCCGCTTGTTTTATTAATGGTGCTGCATAATGTACAGATCTGTGCGTTCCAAGCAAGCATCACTTCTTACCAAAAAAAAAAAAAA